TCGCTGCGATGGTGGAGCGCTTTTGTCCCCAGTGGTAATCCGCTTGCTCTAAATGCCCCAAATCCTGGTATACGGTTTCAAAACAAAGCTGGATTATCACCACTTTTGAGAGTGAAAAATGTCGGTAATGCCCAGCAGCCTGGTCTTTTGTTCGGAGTACGGTCTTTTGTTACAGGGCCCTGTTTCCTTTGAGTTCAGAGACCCCAGCCACGCATATAAACCATACATCTCCGATCCCGGAGTCCCCGGCAGGAAGTGGTTAAAGATATTTATACAAATGAATAAACAGACTGTAACAAATGGTAACAAGCCTGCCAATGCAACCACCATGACACTGATGAAAAACTCAAGGAGGAAATAAACACGTGCAATTTAAACTTCCTTCAAAGGGAGGTCCAGTAGACAGAAAGAGTTGGACGGAACATTTGACTTAAATAACAAAAGCTTATGATTGAACCCGTTGAAATCTTTGAAACAATTAGAGTTTTACCTGAACAACTCCCTAATCATTTACATGTGACCGCTTTTGTATGAGCATGTCTAATCCCAGCAGGACTGTTAATATTTACATCATTGTGTCTAACCAGCCTACAGATACCAGCCAATATAAACTGACCAATCTATCTGCCATGTTTTCTCATGAAGTACTTACCTAATCTTGTACTTCGTAGCTCCAACTTGATTTCATCCAGTGTTTGTGATGTTTCATTTAACTCTTGCAGCAGCTGATCTTGACACTTCAGGGCCTCTTTCTCTGCACAGATGGTATCATCTAGCTGTGTCTGAAGACATTGCTGCTCTTCCTCTGCTATCTGTAACTGCTGTCTTAGCTGCTCATTCTCTGTCTTAATCTGATTCACATGATCAACGATTTCCATCCGCTAAAATGGAATAAAAGCATAACTGAATTTGTAGGAAATCTTTCTCTTATGCCGGGACTTTGAATTACAAATTCAATTCCTATTCATTCTTTTAGAATCTGCCAAAAGAGAAACAAAAAGCTGAAACAGTCCACCTGTTTTGTTTTAATTACTGTAAGGTTTCAGTGCACAAACCACAAATATAAATGAAATAATTTCAACAAAAGGGACATCAACAAACTGGAATCTCAGTACAGGAAGCATGATTAGGGGCTTACACTTACACAGTGTGGCAAAGACAGACAGTTTCAATAAAAAGCGTGTATTCAGAAATGCCAAATATCTGCTAACGAATATGTAAATGCACCTCTTGTTCGAGTTCATCTTTTTTGTCCATTGTCCTGTTAAAGAGGGCATTTACCAGGCTGTAAGCTTCCTCGATACATCCAAATTGTTCCTATCAAAAAAGGAAATATTATACTTCACCACTGTGACAAATCATTTGATTTCATAAATTTCAGGCTTTTGCCTGATGAAACAGCAGCAGTTCATACGTTCACGTTGGATAGTTTGGCGTTTAATAATTTATTCTGACCATTAAACAAGGCTGTCCAGTTTTTAAACAAACAGCTTTCTTTAAATTTGAGAAAGGGGAATACCCTGTCTCTATATTACACAGGGTATGACAAAGATATAAGACCTACATGAAGGTGTAAGCAGTGTCAGTCAGAAATCCGAAGTTGTCACTACATGTACTTGAATTTCTGCTTCCTTATCCAGATGTTTGTTCCACTCATTGTTCTCTTGATGAGTTGATTATTGGCAACCATTTAAGTGCATCTCTTGCATTGGGTAATATATGCTGAAAATGTGGACTTTTTAATGTCTATTATACACTGTCCCTGTAGAGCAATTTTAACCTCTCAATACCTGAATTTCTGCAGCCCTTTGCAGTGTGTCCTTCAAGTCAGTGTAGGCCTGTATCTCTGTCTGCAGTTCAGCAATGGTAACTATAGCTCTCTTGTAGTGAGACTCATAGTTGTTCTTCTTATAGAATGCATGGATCTCAGACACCTGCAATGTGAAGTAATAATTTCAAAACCTGAAGCAAGAATGGAGCATGTTTCATTAACCCTAACCTTCCCCAACCACCCAGAATTAAACAGTAGTAAAGTGTTTAATTCTGTGGGGATAGGTCTGGTGGGCCCATAACAGCTGGCTTTTGCATTGGGTTGGGCATACCTCAGAAAAACAAAGTCCAACAGCCTCTGTGCACATGGGACTTTAACTTTCTGTGAATGGGGAAGGTTAGGGCCAGGAACCCTTGGGGGTTAGGGTTAATAAAAATGAGGAAAAGCAAAGTGCACATATATTCTAGAGTGTTTCAGTAAACTTTCAGAATGTCAGAGTTGACTTACCGGTAGTGATGATTTGCCATGGCAATACACGTACATGAAATGTTAGAGGGTTGCATATAATACACACCAAGTATGATCCACAAGATCACATTTTTGTTCAGACAAACTCTGATGTCCCAAACAAGAACCCAGTCCTCATCAATTCTAAATGTATATATCAAACCTTGTTAATAGGAGGTCCCCCAGATATGGATACATAGCTTAACCTTGAATTATCAGGAGGAAAATATTGAAAAACAAAATTTTGGGACCTTCAAATTTCCTTGTTATCAGCGGAATTTGGCATTAACAATGCTCTAATTAGAAACTTTACAAAGATCCCTCTGTAAATAATCCTCAACTTTGAAAGTAATGGTGTTCTGAAGTGCCTTACTTCTTGCTGGTGTTGTTTGTAAGCAGTACATAGGTCTTGCTGCATGTTATGTAGCTCCTTTTGATACTGATCTCTCAGGTGCATTTTCTCCTGCTGGGTATTCGCTAACTCACAGGATTTCTAAAAAGTTAGTAATTAGATTGGGAACAAATTCAATGCTAACTGATTGAAAAATTAAGTTGGGTTATAAAAATGGCCCAGTGGCCTTAATGACACACGTGCACACCTCCACATAATGTATCAGGAAGTCTATTAGCAATACAAAGATTCCAGCAATACCAAGATTTCCCATTCACACAGTGGCGGTGCAAAATTCTATGGGCCCTGAGTTGACGTATAAATATTTTCATTTTTGAAATGAAATTTTTAATCTTGGAAGGGCCAACAGCTTGGGTGTGGGATAGAATTATAAAAATTACCAATACCTGATCTAAGGCTGCTTGTAGGATAGCTAGCTGATTCATCAGCTCACCAACTTGAAGAAGCAATTTGTCAACTTCATTTTGTAATGTCTCCTACACAGACCGAGAACAAGAAACATAGTAGTGTTTGATGGGAATACTTTTTATCTACCCAGGGGCAGATCAAGTAAGTTTTTTTGGGGGGGGGCAGGTGTCAGGCCAGAGATTTTTAAGTGTCTTAAGTTTTTGCAGACAAGGGAAACAATGATGAAGCATGGCATACATTATTACACATGTACTTCAGTTACTTTTTAAAATTATTCCCCCCTCCCCTTTTTAAAGTGTTTGACCCCCAAACCTCCCCTTGGATCTGCACCTGTTAGCGGTACACAATAACACAAGAAGTCAACTGTCACAAACCTTTGCTGTTTGTCGTAATTCCACCCTCTGATCCAACTGTTCCACCCTTTCTACCACCTTCAACTGATCCCTAGCTCCATCTAGCTGTCTCTGTAGTTCAGCCTGGGTTGACTTAAATGTCTGAATCTCACGACGCAGGAGTTCATTACTGATGGAGGCTGATTCCATATGACTCATTAGGCAGGTTGTATCTAGTAAGCTGGGACTGTCAGCTTCTAGTCTGTCAAGGATTAACAAATCTTGATGTAATGTTGTAGGGTCTCACCAAGAACGGATATACTTTTTCTAAAATGTGAGCAAGCAGTTGTACATGTAGTAACACTACATAAATTCATCACACTCTTCAATCTGCATCTTGTTAACATGTCCTGTTTTTAAGTGATGCATTTAATAAAACTGGTTCACTAATAGAGATTTTTGAGAAAAGCCAATTCAAAAATCTAATCATGGTTTGTGAGGTGCATGGCCAATGTAATACTCACTTAAATGCAGGAACTACAATTGGTGACGTGAGTGTCTCTGCAGCATTTACAGACACAGGTGTTGTAGAAGTGCTTGCCTCCAAGGATGTATGTGGTGTGGTTCCACAATTCATGTCAACCAATCTAACAGGTGTTGGGCCACACTTTATATCTGCAGTCTGGTGTGGGTCAGTACCCACACCAACATCTATGACTCTTACTGGACTTGTTGCGGTAGAGGAATCACAGATCTGAGCTGGGTCTGTACACAGACCAACGTCAGCTGACTTAACAGGGGTAGTACCAATCTTGGCTTCACAAGATTCAACTGATATGGTTTCAATGGAGGCATTCAATATTTTGATGGGGGTCACCATGACTAACTTGTTTAGCATTTCTACTGGTTTAATGGGTGAGTGTCCAACACTTGCATCAATTAAATTAGCAGGTGTGGTCGCTGTTAAACTTTCTGACACTTTAACAGGTGTGGTGCCAAAATTTGCATCAGCATATTTTACAGGTGAGGTTCCAACAGCAGAGTCTCTCAGTTGAACTGGGGTCATATTGACAGACTTGTTGACACGGTTGAGAACCTCAACTGGCTCAGTGGGTGTGATTCCATTGCCAGTATCAACTGAACAGGCAGGTGGGGTCATAGTCATATAATCAGTCACTTCAATGAGTGTGGTTTCATTGCCAGCATCAATTGGATGGGTAGGCATGGTCACAGTCGTGCAACCAGCCACTTTAATGGGTGTGTTTCTACAGCCAGCATCAGAAAACTGAATAGGTGTGGCCATGGAAGTGCTGTTAGTTGCTGTAATAGGTGTAGTCATGACATGGCTGTCCATTACAATGGTAGAAAGGGAAGCTGACGTTTCAGAATGACTATCTACAGCAGTTCCAGAGTCAGCATATTCAAGTGTTACAATGTCGGAACTTGTGCCAGGCAGTTCAATAGGAACCATGCATGAGTTGTTACTTGCTTTCTGAGCTGGCATCACCTGCATCAGTGGTTCAAGTTCAACTAGGGATTTGGTCACTGTTTCCAACTTGTGAACTTCTGCCATGGTGGAATCATTTTTCAGACTTGTCTTATTACAAATAATGGAAGTTGGTCCTGGTAGACTATGCACCAGTCTGGCTGGACTCATGCGACTGTCGCCATCTTCTTTAACGGTATGTACATGTAGTGTTGCCTTGTCTTGTTGAATGTTTATGCCAAGTCTTGTCTCCTGATTTGCAAGATATATAGGTATGAAGGATGATTTACCCACCACCATGCTGGGTGATGAATCCATTCTACTGGTACTATCTCTCTTCACTTCTCTGACTGAGGATACTTCAGATGTACATGCAATGCCACAGGGAGAGGGGGTGTTTTCCAAGAAGAAACTGGTAACTCCCTGTGGCATGAGAAGGGCCGAGTTGTTGGAAGAGTCATCCAGCCCTAATGCAATATTCCACAAGCGGTCAGTAGTTGGTGATCTAGAAATGAGAGCTAGTGGCTCTGTCTTGATGGTTGTTACACATGTAGGACATGAGAGGGTTGCTTGGTGCATCTGTTGAAGGGAATGTTACAGACATGTGCAGATGAACACTGAACAGTATTACTGGTAACCAGAAATGATGCACTAGTACACGCATATTTGTAAGTAAATGAGAGACTTGAACTAAGCTTATGTGTTTTTGTTAGGAACATTCCTAACTAATTTTCCCAATTTACCACTGAAAACGAGCCCAATCAAATGACTCGAAGAAACACTCTATGTACAGTACAGTACATTAATTACTTTCCCGGGGCATCAAGTTGCAGATTAACCCTAACCCTCCTCAATCCTCCAACAGGTGAAGGATTGAGGAGGGTTAGGGTTAAAGAGTGATTGAGTTGAATCTTCCCAAATTCTTCAAAATTCAACACATCCTTATTTTGACTAAAAAATTTCACCCTAACCCAACAAACATGTATGTAAATTGCATAATAGTGCTTTTAGTAATCCTACACACACATCATTCTTATCCAACCTGTTCACTGCTCAATTCTTGCATGGTAGCATCTAGTGTGCTATAAACCAGTCTTTTCACAGTCTGGTTTAATAGATGGTCTCCATCAGATGCGGTGGGAACAAGTTCCTTGGATTCGGATTCGGTCTCATTCTTCTGAATTATGGCCAACAAAAGTTGTAATTTACATTTGGAGAATGTTACCAGATGATGGAAGTTGTCAACCAGTTACTACTACATGTACATGTACGACACAATTAAATGTAAATCAACTCCAACATCACTGATTTCAATAAGGTTAGATTCTTTTCAATTTTCTTGAAGTGCACAGCAAGCAGAACAGTCTCAATCCTGGCACATCCACTTACTTGTATTTTATTTCATTGTGTGGTGCTTGATCTTGCCTAAATGTTAGAACTTTGAAACGATCCATACCTTTGAAGCATAAGAGACAGCAGTGATCTCTTTCAAGAAGACTTCACTTACATGTAGGAGAGATTTAGCAGCCTCTGTGACAGTTAGTGAGCTCTTAGACGGAAATGAGACAGACTGACCTTTGCTTTTCCTGTGAAATATAAGACACTAGAGTTACATGTGTAATTCCCTGTAGATGCACATAGTATTGACAGATACATGTATGTACAATGCAATAGGTGACATGTCACCACAAAATGAGCTGAAAACTGAAATTTTCAAAAACTGAGACATTGGTATTTTCGAACTCAGCAGAAAGAAAGCTTTCCAATGGCATGTACATGGAACACTTGGGGTAGAAGTATAAGGTGACAATATGGCAATATTCTGGCAGCTTTGCATCTTTGTTCCCGACATCGTTTCAACATTTCAGACCTCGCACAAATAATACTATCATCAAAATTGCTGAGAAAGTGTCAATTTTAAATATGTGATTCTGCAAAATATTTGGAATTAAAAAGGAGACGGGTTACTCTTTCCAAATATTACAAAACGCTAATATTGTACATGTACATTAACTGTATAACAAGGTTTTACATGCAGGTTACCAACATACTGTACATGTACAGTATTCATACAATTAATGCATCTTGATTGGTTCCTAAGTAATATTTGAAGCTTTGCATGGTGGAAGAGACATGAGGCATGGGTTTCGGTATAGGGGACCCTACACCCTTGGAGTGGGGGTCTGCTTGGGTGCTAGTAATGGGCGCAAGATGTCACTGAGCTTGAAACCGATGTCTTGAGGTACATGTACATTGTTGGACTGGAAAATCTTGATGGCTTCTAGGATTCTCTTGGGAGCCAGTTCTGGATGGGGGTGATGAGTTCTGCTTTGTCCCATTCGATGTGGTGGTCCGTGGAGTGTGCATGCTTGACGATGGCCGACTTGGACAGTGGTTTTTGTCGTATTCTCCTCGTCGGCCATGCGCATGGTGCTCTTGGAGTCTGGTGGGGAGGTTCTTGCTGGTTTCTCCGATGTATGTATACATGTAATTGGCCATATTCACATGGAATGCGATACACACCTGGGCAACTGCGGGGTGGGTGCTTGTCCTTATGGGTGCGAAGTGCAGCCTGCAGCTTGTTGGTTGCTAAATGACAGACTTTGATGTTGGCCAACTGCTCGATGTTGCGCAGTTGGTAAGAAGTGGGGCCCACGTACGGTACACATACGTGTACTGGCAGTAGGGGGTTGGGGGGCTTCGGGTATAGGTGACCCTAATGCCATGGGGTAGGAGGGGACTTCAGGTATAGGAGACCTTAGCGTCCTTGGAGAGGGCTTGGTAAGTTTGATGCGCTGGTTGTGGTAGCCGTTCATCTGGAGGATGGACTTGATGTGCTGGAGTTCTTGGCGTAGGTTGTTCTGGTTGCAGATCTCGTAGGCTCTGCGGACAAAGGTGGGGTTGACTCAGGTCTTGATGGCTGGGTTATGGAAAGATCTCTGGGGCAGGTACCGGTCAGTGTGGGTAGGCTTGCAGTGGAACACGGTGTTTGAGGATGCCATCTGAGTTTCTGGAGAGATGAACATCTAAGACGGAGAGGTGTCTGTCTTGTTCTTGTTCCATCTTGAAACTGATAGTAGGGTGTTGCCGTTTGAGGTACTCAAGAAATTCTTGGAGGTGATCTTGACCATGGGGCCCTATGACGAATGTGTCATCAACATACATGTAGTGCAGCCAAATGGTGGGTTTGAGGTCGGCACCCTCGTAAACTTCAGCCAACGCACCCTGTGGACCGCGGAGACAGATGTCCTCTCCCTAGGTATGAACTTCGCCACACCACCACACACCTTCCCCCCAGCCAACATCATCCAAGCCACCGAACCAGCCATACAGCCGATGACATTCGAGTCAAGATCTTCCTGTTCAAGATTCATCGGTCTACCCAAATCCCCAAGCCCATCCCCCCTGCACCACATTGTGTCTTCAAGGGGCTCCCTCAGACTTAGGAGACTGCCCGCTTCCTGACCAGCATCCTCCAGCCCCTGGTCAGCAACACACCTCACCACATTTCCAACTCCACCGAGTTCGTGAAGCTCACGAAAAACCTGTTACTCCAACCCACAGACATCATGATGAGCTTCAATGTCTTGTCACTATTCACCAATGTTCCCACCGAAGAAACATGCCAGATTGCTAAGGATCGACTGGAAAGCGACCCCTCCCTCGCTGACTGCATAGCTCTCTCCTCCACCCAGATTGCCGACCTCATCTGCCTCTGCGTTTCATTCAGCTACTTCAAGTTCCAAGACCAGTTCTACGAGCAGACAGGTGGGACCTCCATGGGATCCGCAGTCCTAGCTAACATCTTCAAGGAAGAATTTGAAACATCATCTCTCCTCACTGCCGACCTCAAACCCTCCATTTTGCTGTGCTCTGCATGTATGTATGTTGACGACATATTCGTCTTATGGCCCCATGGTCAAAATCACCTCCAAGAATTCCTTGCGTACCTCAAAGAGCAACACCCTACTATCAAGTTCACCATGGAACAAGAATAAAACAAGCACCTCTCCTTTTCAGAAGTCCACCTGTCCAGAAACCACTGTCCTAGTTGGCAATCGTCAAGCATGCACACTCCACAGACCACCACATTGAAAGTAACAAAGCAGAACTCATCGCCCCCATCCAGAACTTGCTCCCAAGAAGAATCAAAGAAGGCATTGAGATTTTCTGGCACAACATCATACCCCAAGACATCGATTTCAAGCTCAGCAACATCTGGCACCCACTACTACTACCCAAGCTGATCCCCACTCCCGGGCAGTAGGGTTCCCTATACCCGAAACCCATGCCAGCCACCCTACAAACCCCCTCCCCGCTTCAAGGTCTTCTATACCTGAACCCAAGGTTTTCTGCCAATTCCACAACCTCGTACCTCTACAGGATCCAACACCTTCATTCAACAGTGCACATGCTCAAGTTACACAACCTGCAAATCCCGTTCCACGCTTCGCCGCTTTCGGATCACCTTTATAACCAGCTGTCCACTCCATTCTGGCACACTCTCCTTGGGCAGCCAGAGCACACTGGTCGAAACGTCAACACTCACTGGTTCTTTTAAGAACCACACCTCGCCCAAAAGAGATTTGTTCCATGGTGTATCCACAAACCTATTTCTGAGGATGGCCAGAGCACACTGGCAAAAACGTCGAGATAACACTCACCGGTTCTTTTAAGAATCACACCTCGCCCAAAAGAGATTTGTTCCATGGTGTATCCACAAACCTATTTCTGAGGACAGCCAGAGCACACTGGCCAAAACGTCGAGTTAACACTCACCGGTTCTTTTAAGAACCACACCTCGCCCAAAAGAGATTTGTTCCATGGTGTATCCACAAACCTATTTCTGAGGATGGCCAGAGCACACTGGCCAAAACGTCGAGTTAACACTCACTGGTTCTTTTAAGAACCACACCTCGCCCAAAAGAGATTTACACTGTATTCCATGGTGTACAGCCTGCAAATTTCTCATGTCTCTTCCACCATGCAAAGTTTCAAATCTTACAAACCTATTTCTCTTGATTGGTTCCCAATAAAAAGTGTCAAATTATATGTATTGCCCACTAATTTTCAACAAAGTTGTCATAGTGTCACACCTGAGACTCTTGCTTTGTGTTCCATGAGTCTTGCTCGCTGGGTTTGATCTCTTGGGGGTACAGTCTTTCAAAGGTGTCCATATCTTTGGTAAGATCTTTCCTGAATGTGAAGACTTGCAGCTTTGAGATGTTACATCTTGGTTCAGACTGGATAGAGGCTTTCTATTGGGAGTGGCCAGGAGATTTAAAGACTTTCCTGGTGTCTTCGCCTGAAGGAAAGATAAATACCAAAGAAAGTTTTTTCTTTAGCCATAATTAGCCATGTACATGTACGAGGGGAATTCCAGAAATTAGGGGTCCAAAAATTGACAATTTTGTGTCCCAGTTACATCTTACCTTTGTTAGTATTTGAAATGGAAATATCACCAGAATTTATTTCCAACTGCATGTACATGTACCGGTATTACTATTTGTTTGGCACGTAACTTATTACCCTATGTACATGTACAGTTGTAGATGTACATTCTGGACTTCATGTTGGGGTTTTACGCTTTTTATTTTACCGGTACCTGTATGTTTTCTAAGAGAGTGACCAAGGGTGGGATGTTTACATGTGAAAAAAAAGTTCCAAATCCATTTACAGATTTCTCCAAATGTTTAATTAAATGGAACTGCTCCTTTTAGAGGTTTGACATTTTGATTGACACGATCTGGCATTCATTTTTCATTATAAACGATGCTGGTAAAATGTAATCTGATTTTTAGAACACTTTACGGCTTGGTCATATCAAAGGAATACTATGAATTCATCAATGGAACTTCGCGTCAACTATTTACATTGTAATGTTTACAGTTTGTTGTGTTTATTAAAGTTTTCAAATGACACAGTGATAAGGGTGGGACGGTTACACGTTTGAATAGTATGGGAAGGTTTTCGGAATGTTTTTCAAATTTAATGCAAATTCCCACACTTATGAATCTGTACAAACTGCTGGCAGTGATTTTCTTTCTTGAAAAATGTCTGAAAGTGCTCAGACGTCTAAGTTTGGAAGGCTTTTAAAAGTTAATAAGTGGAAAAGTGAACTTAAAATACCAACCTCTGAGTTGACATTCTCTTTGTCAATACATGTAGTTTGCTGCTTTCGTGGTGTGGCAAACATGGTTGATGTACACGTACCGGTACCGATATGAACTTCTTATCTCACTCAAAAATGGATTCTACGTGTATGGGCCTGCAAAACACAGTTCAATATTAAAATCAAATTTTGAAAAACTTAATGTTTTTCTTACGAGCCAACGTGTACTTTCAAAGAGAGAAGATAAAGCCACCACTGGTAAATTTGTACATGTAGCTGCCCTCCAGAAATGTAACATTCCCACTTTGTGACTTCGTCAATCCAATTCCTTCTCCTCATCCACCCCATCAACTCATCCATCTCCTACTCTGCCCCATCCCATCCATCTCTTACTCCTCCCTCATCCCATCCATCTCTTACTCCTCCCCCATCCCATCCATCTCTTACTCCTCCCCATCCCATCCATCTCTTACTCCTCCCTCATCCCATCCATCTCTTAC